CTATATTGTTTAACTCTAGCAACTTTCACTGATAACTCTATATTGTTTAACTCTAGCAACTTTCACTGATAACTATATTGTTTAACTCTAGCAACTTTCACTGATAACTCTATATTGTTGCTGATAACCATTCAAAACCATTACACACTCAGTGATCTAAATAAAACAAATATCTGAGGAAATTAGTCACAGAGTGACCAAAATTAGTACTGTAGGTCACTAATGTTGAGTGAGTCCTTCTACCTCACAGAGTGACCAAAAATAAAATTTTAACTTGAAAATAACTTACCAAAGCTTCCTGTTGAGGTAAATTTGGCTTTCACCACTAGTATTTTTATTTGATAAATCTCTAATGATTACTAATGTGAATTAATTCTGTGAGGTTTTGTAGAATGTCTTACTGAGACATATAGCAGAACGGCATATGTACATGATTAAAATGTGTATTGTACTTATATAAACTTCAGTTGAACTATCATTAACAGGTATTTAACAAGCAAACAATTTGCGTCATCATATACTCTTAAGTAAAGGGAAAATATTCTTGTGAGCAAATGGTGGAAAATTTTGTATATATATTTTGTTAGAACAAATATTGAATTTGTTCAAACCTACTATCCAGCTGGTTCCATACACTATTACAGTCTGCTGTGGGATTTATCAATAGCTTAAGGAAGTGTTTCCACTTGCTATGTTTTATCCTGTTTTGATCCCTAGTATCATCTTTCCATAGATCTGACTGTGCTCTCTCTATTTTACAGTTGTAACAGAGATGGGAGCTTTAGACGTTCTGGGAACCTGCTTCCCCTGGTGTTCGTCATCATACCCCTCTCTTACTAAAAGTGGCTCTCGTTGTAGACGTAAGCTTCTGTTTTCATGACGTGCTCTACATGCTTATTACCTTGTCTTTTCTGCTTTTGCTGTATTTTCTCTGCCTTGGTTCAGTTGAATCTTTTCTTTTGAAGTAACTCACTAAAGAAGTTTTGGTTTTTTATTTAGATTACTGTAAGCTAAAAGTTTTAAGATTGCTATTATCAGAAAAGCATTGAATAAAATCATTCATGTACCAAATGATGAAAGTATTTAATATTCAGAAGAACATTAAAGAATTATTCTTAGAGACTTCTTAGCATTATTCTTTGTTTTTATAAATGATGAGATATTTAGCCATAGTTTTTAAGTTTTTCATGTTTCATACACATATAAAATAGCATATGAACTTACCAAAGCTTCCTGTTCAGGACACTGTTAAGGTTGTTCCCATTAACATTATATTCTGCATATGAACTTACCAAAGCTGCCTGTTCAGGACACTGTTAAGGTTGTTCCCATTAATATTATACCCTGCATATGAACTTACCAAAGCTTCCTGTTGAGGACACTGTTAAGGTTGTTCCCATTAACATTATATCCTGAATATGAACTTACCAAAGCTTCCTGTTGAGGACACTGTTACGGTTGTTCCATTAATATTATATGCTGCATATGAACTTACCAAAGCTTCCTGTTGAGGACACTGTTAAGGTTGTTCTCAGTAACATTATACCCTGCATATGCATTCTTAGTATCTTTATTAAAAGGGGGTTTCCCTATGGCTTTGATAACGTGGCACTGAAGGATCACAAGGGATCTTTTGGTCCATCTAGGCTGTCCTCTCTACTAAATTGAGCTAAACCCTAACTAACAATAATAAAAACACCTCAAAACCAGCCCTTAACATTTAAATATTTATCAAGCTTTCCCTCATATTAACTGCATCCACCACATCTGAAGGAAACCTGTTTCAAAGGTCAAAGAAAAATGAAGTTGTCTTAGCTGAGGATGATTCCTACCCTGCCAAAATTAATATTTCTGTCTCACAGTTTTACCATTCTCACCATTAAATATGAAAAAAGAGATAATGCATCAACACTATCACTTCTCTTAACAATCTTATACACCTCAATCAGATTACTTTAACTCTTCTCAAAAGAAAGCAAGTTCAGAGGTCATAACCTGTCATAAATGATAACATTTCCATCCCAGGTATGATCCTAGTAACCCTCCTCTGAATCCTTTTCAACAATTCGAAGTCCCTTTTGAGGTAAAGAGCCCAAGACTAAACACAATACTCCAAATGTGGCCCAACCAATAACCTATACAATGACATTATACTCTCGATCACTTCAAAAAGTGCTTCAGTTTTGATGTGTTTTTTTTAATTCATTGTACCTTTTGTGTGTACACCTGTGTGTTACTTCTTTTATCAGACATTATAACCTCTTTAGGCTTGTCTTCAGTATTTCTCTATATGCAACCTAAAATCCTATTTCCCTTCTATTTGCAACAACACATTGTTTAAATGGCTTAAGAAACTGATTAACCAGAACACCAAGATCTTTTTCTTCCATAACACTTTTAAGGTTGTTCCCATTAACATTATACCCTACATATGAACTTACCAAAGCTTCCTGTTCAGGACACTGTTAAGGTTGTTCCCATTAATATTATACCCTGCATATGAACTTACCAAAGCTTCCTGTTCAGACACTGTTAAGGTTGTTCCCATTAACATTATACCCTGTAATCCTACTATATTTCACATACTTTTTTATGTGGAGCTAATATAGAAGAATCTGACACACACATCATCTTGTATTGTATTCATGAGTCTAATGTAGAAGAATCTGGTACACACATCATCTTGTATTGTATTCATGAGTCTAATATAGAAGAATCTGGTACACACATCATCTTGTATTGTATTCATGAGTCTAATATAGAAGAATCTGATACAAACATCATCTTGTATTGTATTCATGTAAAGATTGATATGGTGGTTTCAAGAGACACGAATGTTTTAATACTGCTGAAGCATACTGTAGCATGATGTTATGTTCTTACCTGTGGATGAAGGCTTGGAGCTCTAAGAAAGACAAAGTATTACTGTGTTCACGGAATTGCCCAGCGCTTTGGTAAAAAAGTTAATGTCTGCTTTTCATGCCGTTAGTTGATGCAACACGGTGTTTCACACATAGGAATAAATAGGAAATCAGCCTAGAAGGTATTAACAATCTTGCGTTGGGGAGCTGAGAGTGTAATGCGAGTTGGAATGTTTATCTGTAAGATTTATAGTATATTAAATGTGAATGCACATGATGAAGTCCGTGTTGTGCCTTTTTGCAAGCCTAAATCATAAGAGGCTCCCCTACTTTCGATGCAGTGACACTTCATATTTAGTACTCAAATTTCCAAGCACTTGTATGGAATTCAGCAAATGGTGTGTCTGCAGTACACTCAGATGCCACAACAATGGATGGTCTTTCACTGATGGAAAATTCCACAAAAATACAAGAAGATCACAGCTTGATGGTGGTTCTCCCACTGATGCTGTTGTCACAAGTTGTCACAGTAGTACAGTTGTGTTACAAGCTGCAGGAAGATTAAAGATTAATAATACGGTTATAAATGTAATGTAGTTTGAATTGTTAAAGCACAACTTGAAAGTAATGCATTGCCATTGAAAAAAAAAGTCAATCTGTTTTGTGTATTTGTATTTAACAATGACCGTATTTGTACACTAATCAGAAATATAAACCATAAAATGGCGGCCATTTGGAATTGTTAACTACATTATTAAAATTTCAAAATACGTGTGGGTAGCCTGTTTTATTGAATTCAGCACACACACAAAATATATAAAATAATTGTCGGATAACTTTTTACATGATTGATAATACAGCGCATAATACCCATTTATAACAGAATACAAGAAACGAAACGTACACGTGTCAAAGTTTTCTAAACATTACTCAACACACGTTACAGATGTGTTCAATATTTCTGTTAACTTATCGGCACTCTGGCATTTGTTTGTTTTTAATTTCGCGCAAAGCTACACGAGGGCTATTTCCGCTAGCCGTCCCTAATTTAGCAGTGTAAGACTAGAGGGAGGGCAGCTAGTCATCACCACCCACCGCAAACTCTTGGGCTACTCTTTTACCAACGAATAGTGGGATTGACCGTCACATTATAATGCACCCACGGCTGAAAGGGCAAGCATGTTTGGTGTGACGGAGATTCGAACCCGCGACCCACAGATTGCGAGTCGAGCGCCCTAACCACCTGGCCATGCCGGCCCTGGCATTTGTTCACTTCGTGTGGAATACGTCACGTACACCGGTACACGCCTACAAGAACAAACTGTCGAAGCCGATGATTGAGCTCCAGTAGAGGGAGCGACGTGACGTTGGTTGTGTTCCTGCTTACGTAAACGGCAGCTGTGATACCTTCTTCCAACAAACACCTACTGACATACGTTAAATATACAACCTTTTGATAATTGTCTTTAAAAGAAAATATAATCGCATATATTTTAATTAAAAAATCAATCATAATGATATGGATTACTCTCCAAAGAAATGCCTGTATTTGGCAAAAGTTCATATATGATACAAGTCCTGTCCGGTAATTTTTGTTTAAATTTTGTTATTTATGAACAAAAATATAGTATTTTTTTAATCTATTAGGGTTACGATTTTTCACCTTCTTCAGGATTAGACTACACTATTACCAGAGTCGCACTAAAATACTGTGTATTGACTCATACTGGCGAAGCCAAAAAAATCAATGTTGTAGTCGAGACGTCCGAGACCGAGACCTGATGGTTCGAGACTTAGACGTTAGGGGCGACACATACAACACTGCCAAAAATGCGGTAATTAATATGCATTTATATCACTAAAAGATTTTTCGCGTAAAGTTACACAAAAGCATGATCTAACCAGCGACCCGTAGATAGCACATAGCAGTCCCTAATGACGAACTGACAGATTACAGGGGAGGTAACTAGTCAACAACACACACCGCCAACTACTAGGCTCTTTTTATTTGAGAGTTTGTTTATAGGGAGTAGAGGCTACAGAAAAGGCAGCTAGTTAACTTACCCACCGACATATCTTGGGCTTCTCTTTCACCGGTGAATGGTTAGATTAACCGTTACATTATAACGCCCACCACGGCTGAAAATGCGATCATATGTTCGGTGAAAGAAAGAATTCAAACGCCCTAACAACCATGCCAAGCCCTCTTGTTAGAAGTAAATGTGCGATTTTACCATCACTCTTACATCTCACACACACAGCCCCATGGTGAAAAGCTTTTGTGGAAACGGGTCGCGAAACACGAACTCTCGGCTTGACAGTTCTGCCACGCTTGATATCAGGCTATGCTTGACCCACTTTTTTTTTTAATGAGTAAAAATAAGAAATTCATGTCGGTAATTTATCAGTACAATATTAGTTTCTGTATACGAAAAAAAAAAACTCAAGTCAAAATGTTTCCTCACGTATAGAGGATTTTATTTTTACTTGTATGTCCCTTATTCTTTTGTAATCGCAATAATTATTTGTTTGCATTGTTATCTGTAATATAGCCACCGCGGGTATCGAAACCACATTCTTAGCGTTATAAGCCCTAAAGTCCGAAATAGTGCATGAAAAATTTTAACTGCAGCTTTTTACACACTCTTAACAGAATGAAAACTGACAGGAATAAATTATTTCTAAAATTCGTATTTTTCTCTATCAAACACCAGTGACAATACGTCGTATTTTTTACAAAAATGAAAACTCAATCGTATACTAATAATATCTGGGTGCCGCGTAGGCCTTTGATGTGGTTATTGTTTTTAAATAAACCTTTCATGTGTTGTTTATCTTAATATGGAATGACGTGATAACGTGAGAATATTAAAAGTTAAGAAAACGCCAGGAAAAACCTACAATGAATCCACATTTGGTGGAAAAGCTAATTTTTTTGTGTATGTATAAATACTAAACTTTTTCATAAAAAATCAAATAATAACATAAATTTATACTAAATTATGTTACCTTAAGAAAAATCGCAAAACATATATACACTTTTGTTAACCTGTTTTACTTAAGCTTCTAAAGTCTGTCACTAGGGATTTTTAACCGGAAGCTCATATTTAAACAGTCCAGTTTCTAGCCTAAAAATATATTCCAACATAATCTAGCAAAAACATACTCAATAAAGGAGCCCAATGCTTCAGCATCATCCACGCACCCACAGACACCTTTCCTGGAAAAACAAATGGGGTGACCCGGATCTGGTCGTAAATGTAATCTTCCAGGAAAAACTCGACTTCTGGATAAGGAGAATTAAGCAATGTCGTATTTCGTAGAAACCACTGGGCCATTCTCTTCCATACATCTCAAAATAGCAAATCAAACGTACCCAATTAATGTTTCTACAACCTACTCTACTAACTTTCTACGAGCTACATCCTCTTATTTAATTGTAATCTTTTGTAGCTTTATAAATACACGGAACAGGTCTCACTTTTCAAATGTCTCTGTTTTCTGAAGTTAAGAGTAAGTTATAAAAACAAAAGGGCTTTTTTGGATCAAGTGAGTTTACAAACATTGGATATGCTTTACTAAATTGTTTCTTATTTTCAATAAAAATTACAGAATATGACCTTTCGCGAGATGATATCCTGCTCCACCGTAACAAAGGAAATCGTATTTGAAGCAAAACAAAACTTGACTTGTTTATTCCTCCGTTGCCTATTCTCTCCCTCTCTCTTTTATACAGTTTGCCTTTTACTCATAATTAAGACATTATTATTAATTGTAATTACTACTGTAGAATTTTGTGCCTAATCAAAAACACCTTAGGTGTGAAAAAAAAAGGTGAGAACTAAAAAGGATTCAGTGTGCGACTTAAAGGAATGAAATCAGAATTGGTGACCAAACTGGTAGCTGCACTTATAGCGTTGATAAGAATTTTACAGCAAATATTCATTCATTAGTTAACCAGACCGCAATTTTTTTTTGTCCAATTTGGGGCATGATGGTGGGTAGAACAAAATATGTGCCCTAGCTAACTAGATATTAATGTTGTTTTTGAAGAGGTGTATGCCTAGGCAGTTTGGTATCCCTCAGAAGTGGTGTATATTTCAATGGAATGACTAAAAAAAAAAGGAAGACCATGCCTTTAATATATTCTTTCTCATAACAAATTTGTGAAAAGTTATAGAAAATGTTACAGAGGTTTCTATGTAAAGTATGTTTGCATATCTGAACTCATAAGGTTAATTATGGTGACTTTAAATCTAAAGATATCTAGTTCCCTAAAACTAGATCATTAACAAACAGAATGTTTTCTTTTTAAGAACTGATAACTTTTGTAATAACTTTTTTTTTATTATGTGACATTATGATATATTGGAATCTTTACTTTTCTTGAATGTTTGTTGATATACAGATGAAAAGGATTAGACTAATAGTATTTTCTGATGAGAATGATGTTTTTGTTTGGAGGTGAAAAGCTCAGTCACCTTGTTTTTGGAAAGTTAATCTCTTAAGAGGTTAATAAAGTAGTTTTGAAATGTACTGGTTGCTGGTTACTGTTTAAATGCCGAAAGCTTGTGAAGCATTAAATACAAGATAAATATCATTCAATTAACAATAGCACAAAAAAAGAAGTTGACAGTTACATATTAAAGTAGAAGAACCTGGTAAAATACAAAAACCAATGGCTTAATAAAAATTGGTTCAGACTATACACACCTACTTCTCTTTCTAAATCATATGGCTTCACTTTTTACACAGAAAGCAGTAAATATATGTAAGAATGGTTTTAAAAGAAAAAATACTCATTAAAGAAACAAGAAACATGACAAGATATAATTATTCTAGAAATCAAAGATCAGTATGATTGTCTTGCTATTTAAAAGGAATAACTGAAAAAACTCTTTCAATCATGTCCTGTACAAATCAAAATATTCAAACTTTAATTTTGTAGTGACAATAGACTTCTCGCTTGTCTTCTAGAGAAGATGAACCACATCTCTCTAATCACACACACACACACACAAAGAGGATGTGGAGAAAAATGTAAGAATAACATTTGTTGTGAAAAGTAGCCACATCATTATTCTTACACTTTGACAATTTCAAAAATCTTTTATGAAATAACTAATCATAAAAGGTAAAAAGTAAAGTAGTCTAGCAATAGCTCCTAAAATATTATACAAGCTGAACATACTGATTTAGTTTAAAACCTTTTACATATATTTTAATCATTTATAACAAATATACAAGTTAGCATGAAGTTTTTATCAAAACTACATAAAATATTAGACTCAATTTAAGGCACAGTTTAGGAATTCAAAAGTCAACACCTAGGCTAGAAGTTAAGAAGCTTAGTTGTAAACCAAATGTACTTTTATAAGTAAATGAAGGTTGAAAACTTACTTTTCTCTATGTACAGTCATTCACCATTGGTTTTTACAAAAGCTGTTTGAATATACATGTAATTCCAACAGTTTACACAGAATTTGTAACATCAGTAAGAGTTTTGTTGAAATATTTCACAATTTTTCATAGATTCGTAAAAATTAGATATTAATACTAGTGTAATTAATGTTATTATGAAACATGTAATTTCTTAACATTGTATTCAAACTGCCAATACATCCTCACAGTCTGAGCAGTTGTCTAAGAGTTAATTACAAGTGGTTTGCTGAAATGAAAAGTAAATTCATGAAAACAGGAATAAGAAGTGATGTCTATTGAAGTTTACACAATTATCCAGGGAATCATTAGGATAAAGGCCTCTGAAGACAACACGATGAGAGGATACAAATTTAATATTTGGTAAAGACAGGCTAGGTTCCAGTTAATATAAAATTGGACAGCTGACAAGTGGGGGGGGGGGTACCCATCTTCTTGATCAAACATCCATCTGCCTATATTCTGCCTTGATTTGTTAAGTATTTATCACATCCTTCGTTTGAGCTCTATCAATCCTTTTGCATCTACCACATCTAGAGGCAATCTTTTTATTCCAAAGGCTTATGAAATGAGCTGCCATTAAGAGGGTAATCAGTGATTTCCTGAAAAATTAAGGGTTGTTTTAAATCTTTGTTTTTCTTAGTGATGGGTGTGCAAGGAAAGCCTTGAATGACCAAATGTTTTATGTTAAGTAAGGGTTTGTGGTCTAAGTTCAGTCTCAAAAATGAGATTGAGTAGAGTTAAATTAGTGGTAAAGTAAAAGACGTTTGAAACCATTTCATACAGCAATATAATAGTGAATTTTCTTGTCCACACTGATAAACAATCCAAAAAATATCAAAACCAAGGATGTAAAGTAAAAGAAAAGCAAAATTGATTTATATTCATAGATATACAAGAAACCAATTAAGCTATTTCTTATTAATATAAACTTGTAGTGAAAATCTATTACTATTAGCTTTCATTTAACTTTTAATTACACTTAACTATAGGGAGTTTTTACCAAAGTTTGTATTTTTTATGATCTTATAATAGTAATAGACATAAGTTGATGGAAATGACATATTTTAAGAGTTACTTTGTTATTTAAGTTTGCACAGGTAAACCTATTTTTAATGAATATCATTCAACTTATATTACTTATCTATCTATCAATATATATATATATATATAATAATTATGGACGCCTGCAGGAAGAGGCAACAGGAGGCATTAGCTCCCCCTTACATTTCACAAAAAAATTGCAGTATTAGGATGTAAACTTAATATCGTAGTTAAACTAAATATTTTTAGTATTTTTTATTCAAACTGTAAACATGTGTTTGCGTTTATGCACATATTACACATATTCCTTTAGTCTATTGACTTACACTGTAAAAACTGATCCCATACATACATGGACCAATAGGTCCCATGTTGTCCCAAAACATTAATTATGTTTTGCTCCCCACCCCCGAAAATATTTCCGTGGGCGCTCAGCCTCATGATAATAACTAATATACAGAAACAAATACTAAACTAGTAGTAATAAAATAACACATAATTATCTCAAGCAAAATCAGTTCACGCCACAATCTTACTATTCATAACTGCATCACGGGACAGTGTTAAAAACTTCACTTGTAAGAATAAATGCTTATTCCAAAACTACGTCCCAATCTATTCGTGTTACGTAATAGTAATAATATTATTACTCCAAACACGTGCAACCTATGATTCTGAGATTAGGGTCATTTCCCATTTTACCATTTAAAAGATTCCTGTAATTTTCAGATCGCTAAAATAAACAATAATTTAAATCAATAAATTTATCTTACCTCTATTAAATGTTTTGCCTTCTAGATCAATATCCTTAATATCGTAAATATCTTTAAACAAAACACCCGCCATTTTACTACAGTGGTGCCATCTAGTGAAAATAAATATAAATTATTTAAATATCAATAACATAGTCAATTTTAAGTATGAATGTGAAGAAATTGATCTGGATGTATATAAAATATTTGGGGGTTATTGTACATATCATGGATATATATATATATACTAGAGAAAGCAAAGAAAGTGAACATTTATTTTTCTCGGGCATAACAATATTCAGGTTTTAAAAGATATAATCTTCAAAATGGCGTCCTTACCAGTTCGAAAGAATGTCACTTTATCTAAAAGTACTCGTCAGCCGCAATCAGCTCTTCAGATTTTGCTCCAAATGGGTTTTCCGAAGCATAGGGCGTATGTCAATATTTGTTTATACGTTTCAATCAAAATATGTCTTGGATAAAAGGTTCATATGGTTTAAAAAATAATGTGATATCGTGCCCTGCCTCAATGTATATTACTAAATACCGGCATCTTTAGGACTAACAATTCATATATATAATAGTCATACTCATAGGCTAACTCTTTTAATGTCCTCTCTAGTATATACAACTTGTACTTTCTACTTAATTTTTGTAGGAACACCTTATCGTACTCTCCTCACAGTTGCTTCAAATCTTCAACTTGTTCAAGTTCAAACTTTACAAGTTATAAATATAATACTAATAGAATGTGTTTTATGATTAGCAGTAACTTAGTGATAAAAACAAGTGTTTTAGTAAGTTTTACTCTGAATTTGATAAGTTACACAGTTTGTACTTAATTTCATCACATTTTGTATTCTTTCACTGATACTGATATAGTGTTCAACCTAAGATAATTTAATTTTTAACCCACAAATATTTCAAAAGGTTAAGGCTATTAATTAATTAAAATTATGTTCTTCCATTTAGTTGCTTAACCTGTTTGTTCCTTAAATTTCACATTTATCGAAGTAATTAAGCAAAAATTGGATAATTTGACTTCTAGTATAAATATAAATCGTAAGTAAATGGCAGAAGGTTTGTTTCCTTTTTTATCATATACATTTCACAGAATAGTTTTATTGATACAGTTACTCTGTAATGGTTTTATCATTAGCTGAAGAAGGAAAATGCTTAACTGGACAAAGGAACCATTTGGTCCTTCAATTTCATAGTATTCAAGACTGTTCCCACACATCCATCATTGAGAAAACTAAACACGTAAATTTACCCTATGTTTTTCAGGAATTTATCGATTCCTCTCTTTAAACTCTTCTAAAGTACCGTCTTCCTCAACTGCAAACAACTAATAATACTCGAAACTAGAGCCCAGCCATCTTTTCCAAATCATAATGCTGTGTACTTTTACCCTTTATCCTATCGATCACACTTAAAATCTTGTAAAAATTTTCAAGGATAGAACAGTTATCTATGTTATGAATACTGTATGTAGGTTGAGGAAAGAAAGGTAAGAGGTCCTGAACTTTTCAAGGCCTTGAATTTCTTTGTGCTGCATTCTAAAGACAATAGGATGAAAGGACATACTTTTAAGATTTGGAAAAAATAGGTCAGACTTCAATTAAAAGTTTTAATTTTTCTAATAGGGTGATTGACTTATGAAATGAGTTGTTACTGGTAGATTGAAGGCAAACACTTTACAGGAGTTTAATACTAAAAGGGAGATTTATAGTTTTCTGTAAAATAAATGGTGGGTGTGCAAGGACAGCCTTTAAGAATCAAGTGGACCCTTGATGTCTGTATATTATGTCATTTTGTTTTACAAGTCTCAGTAATTCTCATAAAAAAAAAGCCTAAATTTCAGCTCAACCCAATTTATTTATTGTGTTTCTAACATTTGAATAAGACACTTAAGCCTATTCCTATGTTATGAGGATTTTTTAAATGTACAACTTTTAGAGAAGTAATACTACTGTAGAACTAGAAGCCTGTCTACAGTATAAGCTTTAGTTCAGAACTAAAGGTATTTTTCATAAAATTATAGCTTCTTGATATATTTAAAACAAAATAACTTACTCGTGTACATTAATAAGCCAAACTCTTTCTACATGTCTATATATCTAAAACTAGTACTTATTAGTACTTGTGGAGGCTGGCACTTTACAAAAGTTTAAGAAGGGTTTCACTGATTTCCTGAAAATTAAAGGGTGGGTTTATTTTTTTCTTGAATGTGGATATACATTGAGTTTCTTGAAGGATTATATGGCCCTTGTGTCTGTAATACTTGTAAGAAGAGATTGAATGACACTTCTGTCTTTTTAATTTTGTGCAGTTTATTTGTGAATGATACTAATATCTCTTGGGTCCATTTCGATACTTGTAATAATCTTAATGTACTCCTGATCTTGAAAATAAATGTTTTATATACTAGTATGATGTGGGGATAAATTTTGATAATTTCATGGAACCAAATATCTTTCATATGGTTGATGGTTATGTTTTGTTTAATAGTGAAAAAGCATTAGCTGCTACTGGTGACAGAGGAGTTCAGCTTGCTACAGACTGGTATGTGTTACTACTACTTAAAAAATTAATATTGATAACAACATAGGTTATGTGGTATAATATAAAAAAAATTAAATTTTTAACATAGACTTTAAAACTTGTTTTAGAAATATTTTATTGTTCAATTGTAATGGTTTTTGAATTTGTCATTTTTACACACTGATTTCTCTGAAAATTTAACTTTTTAACATAGACTAAAATCAGTTTATAAGTGTTTTGTGTTTTTGGTCAGGCATTTGTATAAAACATTTCTCCACCAAAAAGCCCCAAGTTCAAAAAATAACCATGGGGGGTCCATATGCCAGGAGTAAAACATGCCCCAAGATCAAAAAATAACCATGGGGGTCCATATGCCAGGAGTAAAACGTGATGTCCTGGTGGTGAGTATGTGTGCAAATAACATGCTGATGTAGAGAAAATTAATGTCTAGTTAAGAAATTGTGCACTTTGAAAAGAATTGAGAGTTAACCGTAATTTATAGGTGTGGTATTCACCCCGGTACCCCCCACATGGTCTGAGGTTTATACTAAAACATAACATGCTGTACAGATTATTTCCTTGAAAATTATGTAATTAAATTCATGATTTTTATTTTTATCATTGAAGCAAATAACTTCATTAATCAGTGTAATTGATTATCTAGGAGCATTGATTACATCAATTAGTGTTACATTAGATAATTAATTGAGATTATAATTAAATCAGTTATTAATGTTATGAAAATAATCAACTAATTGAAATTAGAGTTTCCAGTTGTTACTGTTTTTGATTATTCCAACTATCCAAATAATTGAAATATTGCCATTAGGATTTTTCCTTATTATTTTAAATCAATTCAAGGTTGTTCAGATTAGTCGATTAGTATTGCAACTTATGTAACTAGTCAATTATATTTTATTTTATTTTGATATGAAAACGAACTGCATATGGAAAATAAACATGGAAACTTAGAATCATAAGATTACTAAAGATTATTAGATGAGGATATTCTGGTGGATATTGTTCATTGTGCCTCGTGGCACAACAAAATCACCAATCTATTCATGAGAGTTAACAAATAAACTGGATTTAATCCTAGAACTACCAACAAAGTTGACTCCATCAAAACATATTTTACTGAAAATTATATGCACCAAATTGCTTGTGAACCCGTATCTTTTGTTGGTTATGGAATCCATGAAAACACATGTCACATAAAAAATTTAAACAAAAATATCATTAATGTTACAATTCCACTAATTGCTCCTGAGGTCCTTTATGTATTTCACATAAAAATGAATAATTTCATCCACTTTGTGTTGTCACTTCTTTATACTAAATATTTCAACAAATAAAAATATAGAATTACTCAGTATGATGATGTATGTGAACCCTACTAATAAAGAACAGTTTAAAAATGAGCTGGCTACTTATGAGTGAACAATATTATTTGTGATGTTTAAACGATATTTAGAAACGAAACCTCGAGATTGTGCATACTAATATTGTGGCCTTCAGGTGTAATCATCTCTCAAATAATTAAACAGTTTGTATATGTTATTGCACTTGTTTTAGTTGTGATGGTTCTCACAGAGCTTTTTCCTTCTCCATTTTTTACTAAACTGATTGTTTCAAATGTGTCCGTAAATGGTTAGATTTAGCTGATGTATATTTATATAGATACTTCTAACTTTATACTTTTTCATCATAGACAAACTACATGTGGTTGTTTAGTTGCTTTTCTTATGGATCTGACATTTGTGTTTACTTGAACTTACTCTAATATTTAGGTATTAAAATTGCAACACATGGGATATGTGTGTTAGATACAAAAAATAATTTTAGTTATTATTTTCTCTTATTGTTATTGAACCACATTTAAAAAAAAAAACAATTAAAGCTTTCAAATCCCATTTGTTTATGTAGGCTGCTTGCACATTATAATGATACTACGCTGGATGATAGCACACCTAGAGAGTACATTCTGTATCTGTGTCCGACTGGAGATCTGCTTGATCACCTACGTCAGTTCTTCGCCAAATCTAAAGCCCAATGTGGTAGGAATGGAGCTCACAATTACATTCCCCACATTACTCTGTGTTCTTTCTTTCAGGTTTGTTTGTTACTGTTAAACACATTCTTAGATTTACGTGTCTTCCCACACTTTGATGTGTACATATGATTGTTGAGTCAAACATGTTTTGAAACAGATACATGTATGGAAAAAAAAAAATTAAAATGTATTTTTCTTTCATCAAAACTCAACATTTTAGTTATAACTAAAACACATGGAAGGAAATAGATATATATTGTAATTTTCATTATCAAGTAACTCAGTCATAATGTGTATGAAGATAAAAAATATGACATCAAAGAAAAACAAACAAGATGTGAAACAAGTGTTACGCTATAACAGTGAGAGGAATTAACTAAAGCACAGAGTGATTTTACTCTTTATTCTCGGTTTGGGGCCTGATGAGGAAAGGACCATTTTCAATAGTCACAGAGCTCTCTGTAGTCATTTTATCATTGTTACTATTAGTGTTCTTTGGTGCCTTCTCACCCAAAATGAATTGTATGTGTATTGTCTGAATTTTTAGATATCAAAGTAAGATCAGCGTGTACCATAAACTAATAAATATTGTCAATCCAGAGTTATTATGAATGCTATGGAGTATTTTATAAACTCAAAGTTGAAAAAGGTATCTGAGGGTTAAATATACTGAGTGCACTTGGTTTATAATGTGTGTTCACTATTTACATGCTCACATTAGTATGATTAAGGTTTCACTAAGCCTTATTTAACTTAAACTAATGCTGTGACATTTAAGGTGCAACTGATGTTTTTTTAAGTTTTTTAGGAAAATATGAAAAGTTTTTATTAGATCTAGTACATCATGAAATCTCAACAAATATACAATAGTTATTAAAAACTAATAATAACTAGTTTTTAATAGCTATTTATTGTGTAATGATTTTAACACAAATGTCATTTTAAATCATTTAAATATACTAAAGTTTACTGTTGCTAAATGATTCCAGTTAAATCAAGTCAAGTGTCTATATATATTATTATATGAAGTATTTCAGAGATTGAAAAAAAACAACATTTACAACACACACAGGTTCAAAGCACAATTAGTTTTCTATGATTCCTGTACTTTCATTATCCCTTTGTTTATTTTTAAAGGCTCCAGATGACAGTGTTCCTCATTTAGTACATGCACTAAAACATGTCATACAGAAATTGCAGTCAGAATTACCAGAACAAATTAGACTAGAGCATTATACATCTACTACATTTCTTGGACTCTTTGTGTCGGAAGAACATAATGACATTCTGAAGAGATTAGCTGTTCACTTCATGAGGGAAGTCTCTGAATACAGTGAGTTTAAAACTATGAATAGTGATATTTTAAGTTTTTCAGGGTATTTCTTTAAAAGAAGTATAAATACAAGTTTAATATGCAATAAACTTAGATAGTTTGATGGTGTCTGCATGTAAATGTCATATTAATTTATGTAAGGTGGGGCAAGAATAACTATACAGTTGTTTCATTTAGAACATAGTTTAATTCCTAACATCTTACTCTGAAATTGGTTTCAGTTGTTTTAATTATATTCTCTCTAATACCAATTGTATAGTAACTTTTGTCCCACCCTGCATAATATGAATACATTTTTATAATGTTGACCATGAGAAAATTTTGGAAAATAGTGTTTAGCATCAAAGGCGTTCTAGCTAATACTGAGTTTTTATACTGTCAGGATGGGGCCTTCTTTTATTTGTGTAATATTAAAACGTAAATCAAACTATAAGCACAAGTGAATATTAAACTGTATAAGTTAGCGACCACATGTATCTTTGTTGAATCATTTAACGTTTCCTTACAAAAAATGGTGGGAAATACACAAGTACATGTTGTACAGTACTGTCGGAATATACCACAACGAATCCTTCAGTAACACAACAAACATTTCTTTATGAAGAGTTATAATTGCATGAACAATGAATCAGTCTAACTTTAGAAATGTTCAATATACTCATGAATACAACACAAGATGATGTGTGTTTGTCAGATTCATCTACATTAGACTCATGAATACAATACAAGATGATGTTTGTATCAGATTCTTCTATATTAGACTCATGAATACAATACAAGATGATGTTTGTATCAGATTCTTCTATATTAGACTCATGAATACAATACAAGATGATGTGTGTGTATCAGATTCTTCTATATTAGACTCGTGAATACAATACAAGATGATGTGTGTGTGTCAGATTCATCTATATTAGACTCATGAATACAATACAAGATGATGTTTGTATCAGATTCTTCTATATTAGGCTCATGAATACAATACAAGATGACGTGTGTATCAGATTCTTCTATATTAGACTCATGAATACAACACAAGATGATGTGTGTGTGTCAGATTCATCTATATTAGACTCATGAATACAATACAAGATGATGTGTGTGTCAGATTCTTCTACATTAGACTCATGAATACAATACAAGATGATGTG